ACGGGAAGGGGGGGGGGGGGGGGAGGGTGTCTTCAGTTTAGCTCACCTTGTAGAACTCACAAATGTTCTACGCACTGCTTGTACATATAGCAAACCTAGCTACAAGCATCTTGATGCCAGAAAACTAGGCTTCACCAACCACTAGCTAACTGGGGCAGTATATGGTATTAGGTAGTTGGCAGACATACGATATAAACAGCATCTACTAAACTTTTTAAAAGATGGCTAAGAGTCCAGAAATTAGGATGTTCAAAGCTCTCCTTGCTGCTAAGAACATTCTTTTGAGAATCACATCCCAAATGTATTAACATTTTGTCTCTTCTTTCCACTCCCTCTTTTCTCGTCATCCTTTGAATGGGCAGTGCCATTTAGACAGTCCTAAACATTTAAGTCTATCCCAAAAACAGCTCCAGCACATGCAGCTGCAATGCACGTTTCTCCATATGGCAACACTTCTCCAGAGGCACCATCAAGAGGGACTTCAGACCCTCATGACACTTCAGCATGAGGAAGGTAACCACCAACTAATTTAACATTACCCTGTGAATAGCATTTCCCTTTTTTCACATTAGTTCTCCCTCCTGAGCTGTATGTACAACAGTTCAGATTACAAATGTTGCTCTGTCAAATCCCCACCCCCCCAAATGCATGGCCAGTGTTTTCCCTCTAATCCCAAAAGGCTCAAACAAAAAAGGGAAGCGAGTCCTCACCTTCGGTGGCAACTGCAGTTCTCTTGTATGCAGGGCTGGTACCTTTCTAGAGCACTGTTAATCTGGTCAATAATTTTTCCCCATTTTGCATCTGGAAACAAGAGAAGACAGAGACTGAGGAATCTGCCTGTTATATTATCACAGCAGCTAACAGGGCGAGGGGAACAGGACTTGTGGTCCCTAAAAGCCATCCAGTGTTGTGGCAGCAAGCTAGGTGCCAATTTCTGCAGCACACTTCTATAATACTCTCACCTACATGCCCAACACATTACATGGCCGGACCAGCTCCAGAGAGGAGAAAACTTTTCTACTGAGACTGTCAGCAATGGAGCACCAGCCATGACAGCAGTTATCTTAATGTGGACTGCAGACTGAGAAAACAGACTCAGTACACATAAACCACTAAACAGGTATTGCGTACCAGTGGCTTTCACAGACACTAAAGATAGGTGCATTTGAACCTATGGCTTAAAGGCAACTTTTTTACTTGCACCAACTTTCTCCAATTTCTTTCTTTTGTGTGTGTGTGTGTGTGTGTGTGTGTGTGTGTGTATGTGTTTTCCAGGTCAAATTAGCCAGATCAGGTCCAAATCTCCTTGAATCATTCAAGAACCATAGTGCCCCTGCTACTGGCAAGTATCTTCCACCCCTGCCTGGGGCTTCCAATACTTCCAAATCCTTTGGTGGGCATCCTATGTGCAGGCCCAAGCCTGCAGACTTGGGGTTCGTGTGCCCCTGAGTTTCACTTGCCCTCAGCCATATGGGCGCAGGAGCAAGCTAGGGAAGAGTCTTCCATTTCCATAAAGTCAATGTGTAGCTGAGATCCTCCCACTGGAAGCTGGCCAGTGGGAAGCCACCCATGAGGCTCTTATAGGCAGTCCTGTCTGCAAGCAGACAGGGATGCACCCTCCACCTCACCGTGCCATTTTAATTGCATTTTTGGCTCGGATATGAGACTTGCGGGCTAAGATTGACTTTTATTAGTAAATGTTTAGGATTGTGAATCCAAAAAGAGCTGACAAAGCCGGTAGGGAAATACATAGCGCCCAAGCAAGGGACTAACAATAGAAGGATGGGGGTGAGGAGGGGAATGCAACTAGGTTACAGGAGATACAATGTTAGCCAACTAAGCCCCAGGGTAGGAGGGAAGGGGGAAGGGGATCACTATACTTGATCTTAGCCCACAGGAGGATTATTTCACTCTTTCAAGAGGGACAGAGAGAAAGAAAAGCAAGGTCTGCCCCTTCCTTTCCCAACTAATAGAGTCCAACTCCTAATTCTCATCAGGGTGGCCTCCCTTATTCAACTAGACATCTAGAGAAAGGGACACGTGCCATGTGGTGCTACATGTTGCTAGTAATGTTTTTAAGCAACAAATAAACAAGCATAAAGCCAACTCAAGAAGCAATTCTGAACCAGAAGGTCAAGTTTCCAATAGCAATCTAGCTGTTTAAAGAAAGTTGGGCTGTGCAGTCACCTGTGTCTGGTTATCCACCACCCAGGTGGTGGGTTTGACAAGTAACTGGGCCAGCTGACCAGCTATCACATGATCATAGCCTGGGCTCAGGCTTCTTATAAGAGGAAGCCTACCACCTCACAGACAGATTAGAAGCTAGAATAAAAATAAGGGAGGGCTTATTTTTTTCTTTCAAGCAGAAGTGCCCTGCTACAAACGAAAGAGAGGAAGCGCTTTACAGTGCATCATAAAGAAGAGAAAAGATTCTTGTAATCAGAGAAAACTTATCTAACTAATCCTTCCC